CACCATACTATTTGGGGTGTCCAATAATTCGGGTTTAAATAAATTGGAAATTATGAACGCTCTGGAGTCTTATATTATAATAGATGTATGATATCTGATATTCACATTGTTTATCATGAAGACCAAAATGTGAATACAGTCTCCTATCTCCTGCGCTTATACCACACTAGGTGGGGTCGTCACAACAAGTCACACAAGACTCTGCTGTCTGTCTGTCCATCTGTCACGAGGCTGTATCTAATGAACTGCGATAGTTAAACAGTTGGAAATTTTCACAGATGATTTATTTCTGTTGCCGTTATAACAACAAACTCTAAAAAACAGAATAAAATAAAAAACATTTAAGAGGGCTTCAATACAACAAACCCGAGAAGCAACGGAAACCCATACAACAAACCCGAGATGATTGCTAGGCAACGGGAACCCTCCGTGCGCGAGTACAACTCGCACTTGGCCGGTTTTTATTAGCATGTTCTCGTGTATTATTTTTAATGAGGAATTGTTATTCATGTTTCATCACATCCATTGAGTTCTATTTTGCAATATATATACATACAAATCTATTATGTTAATCAGATAGTATGCCGTACATTTGGCACAATTTTGACAGCTCCGTGGCGCAATTGCCAAGGTGTTGGCTTTGCAACGTGGGACGTGGGTTCGATTCCCACACGGGACAACGATGTGTGACGATCTCAGAGACATGACATTCTCAAAATTTAATGTAAGTTATATAATATGTGTTTTATTTATTCACAAACACTTAGGTAAGACTTTTATTAAGGCCGATTATAACAATAATTTAAATGTTAGCCATCATCATCATCATCAACGATCACATTGAATGTTCTCGAATATTCTTCAAAAAAAGGGCTACTTATTAGTGTTCTGCACTGTTGGTAAATAAACAAAATTGATGTAAATGTCGATTTACATCACGCAATCGTGGGATGGTAAAAGTTTGACTAAACAAACTCTTCAGATAGGTACTGGTCCAGTAATAAAGTCGGATCAATTCGTCTCCGACGCTCATTACTCCGCCCGTTGCTATCGATTTCCGTTTTTGCTTTCGAACGTATTAGTACCGCTGTTTGTTCTGCGCCTTTTTACGTACATTAAGCTTCTGCTGGTTCTTAGTCATTAACTGACGTATTACAACCGCGTATTTAGTAATCATAATGTTAATATTTTTTTATTTCAAACAAAGGCCCTTAGCAGAGCTTGAATTAAGTACAGATTAATAATTAAATAAGTTTGTATGTATGGATGGATGTTTGTTACTCTTTCACGGAAGTATGGATTTTAACGAAACTTTACAATAATATAGCCTATACATCAGGATAATACATAGTAATTTATAAACATATTTTTATGTATATCTGTCTTTCTGTCTGAATGTTACGCCTTCAGTATATTCTACGCAGACGTTGTCGCGGGCAGCAGCTAGTATATGATAATATTAAAGCCATAACGTATATTAATTATTTCGTCCCATAGAACGTCATAGCTATAGTAGATTTTTGTGGTGTTTTTTACAAATTGACTAGTTCACGCAGTTGGATCTGTCACTAAGTCAGATGCATACTTATGTATAACCGTTGACTTAATTACTTAATTAAGTCAACAGTTTCTTTTATTAAACGCATATTTGTGAAAAACGTGGGCAGCGAGAAATTTTACGTTCCTTGCTATATTGAATGTGATAATGAAAAGGAGACATATATACTGAGAGGCTATAAAGATAATTGTATAATGTCGCAGTCAATATGACATCGAATGATTTTTCAGATTTCGTCATTGAATAAAAAAATTTTACTATTCTTTTGTTCTACTCACCTAAAGAATAACATGTTCTTTTACCATTTATCTCTTATTAAACAAATTATATTTCACCTTAACAATTTAAGAAACTGACGACTGCAAATACGAAATAACATAATTATAATAACATGTTCGCGAGTTGAAAATTTAAAAGAATTAAAAATATTATTCTTAAGCATTAATAATATTTTAATGATAAATAAAGGAAACAATATTAATGATCATCGTTATACCTTACAGAACGAAGCGAAATCGAGATGTTTCATGACATAAAAGACGGAGGATTTCGATAAGGAGGCACAATCCAGACAACAAAGCAAAAATATCGTTGTACCTGTGTAATGATGAAAAGAAATTATCCGAAATCTAAGCTCAAATATCGGCCGGTAACGAACTGGGAGTTTTACGCTAATGGTCGAATATAGTATGACGCCGCGTTTGCACATCATTAAGCTCCGAATTGTGAAGTTACTGGGAATCCATTGGGCAATGGTGCGGGAATAATTCACAAGTTGTTATTGCCGGTTGTTTGAGAACGTCGCGTTATCACCCCGTCCCCATTAATAATATGTTGGCAACACTAAAGGAATTGTCATGTGTACATGTGGTATAATGAAGCTTCACGAAGCATTTCATGGTCTTTTTTGGCTGTCAACGAGAAGTATACTCGATAGTGCTGCCAAATTGGTATCTTAAATTAAATCGCTGGGTTTAATTAATTATTTAACGGTGGTAGGGCCACGCAGCAGCCTCGGCTGATGCACGAATGGGCAGGCCCGTCCGGGTAAGTACCACGACCTCACAGAAGACCAGCGTAAAGTGGAAGTATGACAAATACTTTCGCGTTTCGTTTGGTGAGTGAGGTATCTGGAGCCCAATTTTCAAAAGGTTGTCAACGCATCTGTAATCCTCGGGTGTGGCAGATGTCCATGGGCGGCGGTATTCACTTAACATCAGGTGAACCGTCTGCTCGTTTGACAACTTTTCGCAAAAAAAAAAAAAAAAAAAAAAATCGCTGGTGTTGTGATTATTTAGTCTAAAAGTGAAAACAAGTAGTTAATTATAATAGTGCTATTGTCGGACAAAGTAAAATCAAGGGGATTTGATGAAAGTATTTATATTTCTAACTTGTTAGGTCAAAGTAAAGGTAATAATCATCACTTATTAGTATAAAACAAAGTCGTTCCGTAATCTGTCTGTCCCTATGTATGCTTACATCTTTAAAAGTACGCAAAACGGATCTTGATGCGGTTTTTTACTAGTTAGAGTGATTCAAGAGGAAGGTTAACATGGATAATACATTGAACCCGTGCTAAGCCGAGGCGGGTTAGTGGTTATACATAAATAAAACCATCTGTATATGTAAAATCTTAGCAAGGGTACAGACCGTTCATTCGGTGTTATGTGAATATCGCTGTCCATTGACATGTACAACACATAAAGGCTCGTGTTTAAGACAAAGTGCCACGGTACTTCCCCGGACGGCCCGCTTAATCAAGCAACTAGTTTTTTAATATTTGTTGTTATAGCACCGGTAGAAACACCCATCCGTGTAAATTTCAACTGTCTAACTATCACGGTTCATGAGATAAAACCTGCTGACAGACAACGGAGTCTTAGCAATAGGGTCCCATTCCACCCTTTGAGTACGCAATCCTAAACCCCTTGACATACATGACGTATCTTCATAAATTATACATTTTAGCATTGATTTACCCATGCACATTTTACGTATAGAAGATGAGTACGTATATATATATGTATATATATATATATATATATATATATATATATATATATATACATATATATAAATACAAGCGGTCCCGACAGACGTTGTCTTGTACTCACGTATTAAACCAGACAACAAAAATATAAATAAAAAAAAATAAAATTAAAAATTGTTGTCGACCGAATTGTGAATCTAAACCACTCTCGAATTGACCATTCATTAAAATCGGATATTTTCGAAAGAATTACAAAAAAAAAAATTATATTTCGAAGACTATTCCCTATATTAACCTCCTACTCTCTCCCTCAAGGAGGCCGTTGCCCAGCAGCGGGACATATAGGCTGTTAATTTACTTTACTTTTTACGCAGATTATATATACCACTGCGATAAGGCATAAGTGGGAAAACTATGAAAAGTTCTAGCATGGTTTTAAAATTCTGAATTTATCTCTATCTGTTGAATATTATATTATGTTGAATATTTCGCGTTATTGTAAAAATTTCAACATCACAGTCGTATAAACATGTGCATATGTGTGTGAAATCGGAAAACTTTTTCGTGGATCACATATATTTAACCCCTTTGGGGTAAGACCGTGATTTTTCGTTAATGGTGTCCCAGCGATGCTATTCGGTTTACTTTCTTCGTTGAGGTTTATATAAGAATATATATTTATATTACAAGAAAATATGGGATCATTTTTGGATATAATTAGAAGCCTAATTATAAAATACCTTATAAACATATAGCTTTTTATGTAGATACTTAATATTAGTTACACAAACTACATCACTGTAAAGGATACCATTAAAAAATTAACTAACAGAAGCACCGGGCCTCGTTAAGGCAAGGAAAATTAAAGCGCTACTAATTACTGACTAATTAAAAGCACTCAGAGCTAAGTAACTGTCGAAAAAGTTTCGCCAGCTCTTTTCTTGAGAGCAGCTAAATGACAATCGTCTCGAGGAATGGACACTACGATCAAAAGTGACAAGATATTATAATTAGCCGAAATAATGGGCATATAAAAATAGAGCTTTTATTATGACAGATTATAAGACCGTTATTAAGTTGGTTGTATGTAATATAAATAATTATGTTTTCAAGAAGCTGGATTTTATGCTGTTATAACCTTTAAATTGTGTAATATATCTAATGCGTCAATAAATAATTACGTTCCGTGGCTATAATTAAGCTAAAATGTCCAAAACTTTCCAAGCACAAAAACGTAGAAAACAAAAATTTTCTAAAAAAAAAAACAGCAACAACCATAATTTTCAATATTTTTATTTGTAAACCCCTAATAATGAACACAACTTGTTTTTTTATAACTACGGGATTACACTTTGAAAAATATTTTATAACAGACCACGTTTTTGATGACCCGCTGTTTTAAATTTGAAATGGAAAATTCCAGAAACGTTTTCGCGCTTCCCGGGAGCACATATGAAATTCGCTATTAAACGGCCTGAAAAATACGATGGCCCCCTTTCAACGGGCGTTAAGCAAAGTAAGTCGGCGGTCATAACCCGTAATAGAGGTGTATTACCGCGCTTAGCGGTACGTAGTTTCTTTTAACGGTAATCGCTGAGTGTATCGTCCCGAGGCTCACCGTCCGTGATACAAAAGAAACGGGTTGTGGCCCCCAGATGATCCCCCGCAAAAGATTAGCGCCGTTTACAAATAGCCTATCACACTTTAAGCCGTTAGTGGGGTGGCGATAAATTTTTACGTGTTGTAAATCTTACGTCATAGTTCGTATTGTCTTCAAATAAATTTAAAGTAAATATTACATAGATGGTCGATTGGTTTGTATGTACTAAATAATTATAGTAATTAAATATAGTCACTGTAATAATTTAGTACAGGAAGTTAACAAATATACATAACATTTTGGTATAATAATAGGACAAGATTTTAATGTTATGTTCTGTAGGAGTACGCAAAGCTGATAAAGATAATAAATCTAAGCGTTTTAGGTTAAATTAAAGCTGACTTTCAACACTTTAATCTGTCCTAGGTAGGTAGAGATGACTTGCCCAAATGTGTATATTTTCTTCGACAAACTAATTCGTTCCCAAAATATTATGTTTTCGCACACTGGATATGTATACAGTCACAATTATAACTTTAGATTTATGTTATGATTTTTCCCATGTCAGTTTTTCCCTCCAGACGACTAAGGTTGATATATTCGTAAGTGACCTGCTCACTCACGACTATGTGAGGAGTCAAGTAAGTCTCTTAAAATTATAACAGGGCCAAGTATATTCAGGACAAAACATGATTTCTATACTTCACAATCCACTGCAGATCAAAAGAGCGGTGAAAAATATAGATACACTGTAGCCAGTATTTCTAGTTACATGTGATTCAATGTTGGGTTCCCAAGAGTGATCGCAGATTACTACTTGAGACCTAAAATGATTTTTGGTCATCACTAATAAGTAGAAGTCCATAACCGTTAGCGATATATAACTGCCAGGTGAACCTCGATTTTATGTTCTCCATAAAAACTTGCATTGAATTCGTATGTAGTCACAAGGGAGACGAAAGAGCGGACCGGCCAAGCTTCCTGCGCCGGAGGAAACGGCGTGCCAACTCCCCCGGGCGCATTGTTTGAGGATTTGATGCGTTTCCTCCGTAAGTAGGCATCGGGGGCGCTCTTTGAAGTCGCATACGGGAATTTCTCACGGCCGGTAGTGTTGTTCTTATTGTAAATTACCACTACATTTTGTTTAAGCATTTTTATTGTGATTTGGGTAAAATTATAACCCAAATTTTTGTAACCCAAATTTGAAGTTTAAAAATTTTAATTTAAATTTAAATTAAACTAAAATTTTTAAACTTCAAAAATAACATCGTGTTACTTAATTTAGCCTATCTAAGGGCATTTTATATGAGGTTTTATATTTTAAGTGGTTTTATGTATATATTACATTTCGACAGGCAACCCTTATTCCATCTTTTCATAATTTTGTACTGAATATAATTATTATGTGAGAGGTATGAAAATAGTAGAGAAGAATATATAATAGTAAAGAATAGTTTCAAATATTACTGTTCATCTTTAAACTGAATCTGCCTGAACTCAAGAAAAAATTATCATTGTTAAAATATATCTATCCTGTATATAGACGTATTCATCTCTACGTAGTATACACCAAAGTCGTCCCGCTGTCTGTCTGTCTTTCTGACCTTATGCTTATATTATGTATGCTTACATCTTTACAACTACACAACAGATCTTGATGCGGTTTTTTTTACTAGATAGTGCTTCAAGATGAAGGTTTATATGTGTAATACACTGCACCCGTACGAAGCCGAGGCGAGTCGCTTATGATACTAGCGATCCGCCTCGGCTTTCTGTCTCGGATGTTTAAATAAGCGTTTATTATGATGAATGCTTCTTTAAACATCCCAGACTGCTACAATCATGAATATGCGTCAACAACCATGCGTAGCGCATGGGATGGCTAAGTCCATCCGTACGGTGCGTGGGCTTACGCGTGTGAAATGCCGACAAACTGCTCCGGCTACGTTACCCGCTACGCCACTAGGGTTATGCTTTATTGTTTTGTTGGTGCAATCGTAGCCATATCGGAATACGACGTGAGCACTTTTTTAAATAGGGTGGCAAAGTACCAAAATTTACCTTATAGGTTCACATAGCGACACATGAAACTGGCAAGATTCGTGTCATTAACTTAACGACAAATGGCAATTTGATACATTTAAAAATGATATGCTAAGCCGCTAAGGAACGATCTCTTCCCGACAATCTTGCGGCTAAAAGTATATTATACTTGGAATAATAATAATGCATTTGTGGAGGAAGCGCATTCAATACGCAAATTGATTCGATGTTTTATTAAGAAAACTAATGAGCCAGTAACCGATTATAAAAATTAAACCAAAAATCTAATCCATTAAAAAATTGTGTCATTTTGTTAATAATAATAACAAATAAACTCGTTGAAATCTTTTACTCTAAATAAAACAGAATAAAGTGCTATAATATACTAATTACCCTATCCTTAAGACAGTTTAATATCACAAGAAACCATTTTACAATCCGTTGTACATGTGGATTTGTATATACATTCGTCTTCATCTATGCCTACACGTTCTATCATTAAATTCCTGTATTACAAAGAAGCAAGCCCAAAACGCTATGAGCGGAGAGCTTTCATTTGTCTCACTTGTTGTGTGCCACTACTCCTAACCACAGAGAGCACAGACGCGTCGTCGTCCAGTTTCAAACAGTGGCAAGTCGAATTACGCTAGGGTGACGGTAAACAAAGGGTAAAAGGCATAATAAATACTGTCATCGCACTAAGATTACAAAGGTTTGTGGAGCTGTGACACGGTTGCCTGGCTTTGTGGAAATTTTAATAGCCTCTCGCTCACAAGAACATCCACTGTGGAATAATTTTTAAACACTTTTATGTTTAGTTAATGATGCTTTGACCTATTCATTTTTCGCAGTTGCCGTGGAGTTTTTGTTTATAATTGAAATAGCCGTTTATATACTAATTAGCCGTGTAATATATTTAAAAATACTATAATAACTTTAATTACGTATATGTATAAAAAACTGCACTAGGGGTGTGTAAAGACAAGATATCTTTATCCCATATATATAGGGTCGGGACATTATATGAATTATGTTGTTAACTATTCTAGCCAACATTTATAAATATTTTTGTAAGTACATTCAAACACGTGTGCAAACAACTTATTCAATACCATTATCATGGTATTGAATAGATTTTTTACGGCCCACCCCTTGTCGAACGTCATCCCTTCTTCTCAACTACGAAAAAACCATATTCTTGAACTGGTAACTGTAGTCGAGTCATGCAACAGTCTTCGTGGTTGCACGAATGAGCAGATCCATCCGGGTAAGCATTACAACTTCACAAAAGACTGGCGTGAAGTGAAGTGTTATACTACTGTGTTTCGTCACGTGAGTGAGGTAGTCTTAGGCTCACCTTTTTAAAAGTTGGTAACGCATCTGCTACCCGACAGATGTTCATCCCTTAAAATCAGATGAACCGCCTGCTCGTTTGCCAACTGTTGACATAAAAATATGGGGCATACACCTACAGATACTCTATTAGTAAATGGAAACAGGAAAATAATCGTACATTTAGTTGAACGTCTGCTGCGTACACTGTACATGTAATCTGTGGGGGCGGGTCGCATCTGTCACGGCACCGTCTCGTCTCCGAACACGTCACGGCTGGCCCAGCCGTCATTAGTCACGCCGCCATTGATTCACTCTCGCCGTGGCAGAGAGAATATGGTTTGAAACTTTGTAATGCACTAACTGAATGATACCTCGGCCTTTCTTTAGTTATCGCAAAGCCCTTGTTTATAAATATTAAGTATAATTATATATATTAATACCAGTATTCATAAAGGGTTTACGTTGAAAAGAAACCATTTGTTACCTTTTTTTAATATAAAGCAGTATTTTGTATTCAAGAATATGACAACAGTCCGCTGATTGATTTTAGAATTGTTTTTTAAATAAGATTCAAATTAATTTCACGTTAAACGAGTTAAACTCAACTTTAAATTTTTTTTTCAAGTGTTTCTTCTTTTTATATTATTGGCAAATATTTATATTTATTCATTTTAACGTATCTAGAAGTTTCCATTAAAAAAAATATAGTACGCTCAATACGTGAATAAAAGAGTGGGCTACAATATTATTACTACCTCAACAGAGCAAATTGTCTCCTTATAACAAAAATACTGTAAAAACTAAGATAGTCTGCGATATTGGTTTTGTCATTTACTTGTTTTTTTATTGCCTACTGTACAATTTCATATTTTAAAGGATATGTTATTAAACTCCTATAATAAATAATATCATTATTCATAAATAATCAAATGGATACGGTGATATTTAAATTTTGAATAAATACGCGCATACGTGATTCCACCCACCAAGCAATGCTCATCGGGCCAGTTAAAGTAAATAACGAATTCCCCCCGTAGCCGTATTTGTAATACAGATTGCCAATAATTCGTGTAAATCGTTGGTATGATTTTAAGATAAACTGGCCGAAAAAGTTTTTAAATTTATTTTCGATGAAGCTTGATTTATACGTTCATACTTTCGTTTATACTACTTTAAAAGCGAAGATAAACGCTATGTTTTATTATGAATAGAATGTTACATCTTTGTGTTTAAATCGAAGGAAAGAGTAACACGTTTATTTGAACACTCATAGAGCCTCTATCAAGACGAAAGACATAAAGTGGAATAATTTTCTTGGCCGTTTACCTGGCGAGTGTCTACAAAGTAAAAGTGTGTATTCTTTTAAGGAGCTCAAATATATTCGTCTAAGGCCAAGTACAAAATATAACAGATGTTAAATAGTTACCGTCTAGTGCATACAAATAATGCTATAATAAAGAATTCTTCTTCTTCTTCTCTTCTTTAATTTAAGAGCCAGGCTCTCGTCAGTCCCTGTAATTTAGTTGTGCAATGCCTTCCCGTAAGCTTAACATTTATCTTATTCTTTATTTTTGTGGTATTTATATCAAACAAATATAAAACATTAATTCCATTCAAACAGGTACCATGAAATCAATACTTTTTATAAAACGTATTTACATTTATCCTAGTTTCATTTTGTAAATGTCAAACCGTGAATGTAGTGGACATAATTGGATTGTTATTCAGCCCGAGAGGCATGCATTTCGATCCGTTTCGGTTAAAATTTTGTCAACTAGCCGACATCGCTGCCACGTCACGTCCTTTATTTACTTTCGTTCTATCGATTTCACATTTAACTTTATTCTCCAGTTGGAGTTAAACAAATATATTCTAGTTTATTTTGTTAGGAAACATGCGAAGTAAGTACCAGTAGCACAGAGTAGTATTTTTAAAAAATAATAACAAGTCGAATAATTATATTAATATAAACTAAAAAACCCGACTTTGTTTCTGTGTAATTATTTACATTGATATACCCACTGTCACTCTCAACGTAAATACGAATCTAACGATACCTCTCTAGCTTAAATTCGTCAAGCCGTTCAGGCTGCAGAGTGTGCCAAACAAATATGCATTCATACATACATACTCTCGAAAAACATAAACCTCCTTCTGGTGCAGTAGGGTAATAATTTATCTTCAATTAATTCATATCCTTTATTTAATATTATTGGAAATTTAAGATTTATTTCATATTAGCGACCCGTCCCCTCATTGCACGGGTGCAATGTATTATACATATTAACCTTGAATCACTCTATCTAATAAAAAAGCACATCAAAATCCATTGCGTAGTTTTAAAGATCTAAGCATGCATAGGGACAGACAGACGCCTTTGACGACTTTGTTTTATACTAAGCAGTGATAATGTATATCGTTATCAATAACATGAACAGCTAATTTTATTTTATTTAGGTTTGCACGCACGGAGATGGCCGTGTCTCTAGTTAGCATATATCAACATCGACCAGAGGTGGGTTAACTATATATAAGATGTGCGAGTGACACAGACTGGCCAATACATAGATTACATTAACCAAGGCCAACCATATTAGATTGCAATCAAACACGACCTCATTATACATACCTATCAACAAGATTTGATGAACTGTGATTAGCGATGCGTTCGGAATTATTTAATTGATTGGATGCGTTTAGTGTGATTTGATGATTCTGTAGTAATGATGTTGGTTAGACCACGCATGCTATTATTGAGCGAATAAGGTTATCTATGCTTGGGATTTGTTTTGTAACTTTTTGGACTATGAAAAGATTCATCGGCTTAACTCGCTTTTTTTAAGTTCCAGAAGGTGGCAAGCTAGCAGGAGGTTTACGTGATGTTAAGTGATAAGCGCCGCCCATGGACATTAGAAACAACTTTGCAACAACAGTTGCAGATGCGTTGCCACTTTTTAATAAAGTGGGCCCTAGCAATCTCACTCTCAAGACGAAACGCAGAAGTGTAATTTCCACTCAATGCCAGTCTTCTGTGAGGTCGTAGTATTGACCCAGGCGGATCTGCCTATTCGTGCAACAGCGAAGACTGTTGCGCGGCCCTGCCAACGTTTTATACGTACATTAACTAAAAGAACAATAGCAAAGCGAGTTTATTATTAAGCGAAGATTATTACTTTAAAAAACTGCAGTGCAGCTAATAAATTTTAATCCCATTATGTTAGATTAGGAAGAGCCGTGATAGCTCAGTGTCCGGGCGCTCGCCTTTAATTCAATATACTCGAGCAACCTGAGTTCGATCCCCGGTGCGGGCACCAATGAAGTTTTTAACTTTAAGTGCTGACTTATCACGTGCTCCGCGGTGAAGGAAAACATCGTGAGGAAACCTGCATATTTTAGAAAAAAAAAAAAAAAAAAAAATATTTCGAAGATATGTGAAGTCCGCCAATCCGCAGTAGGGCCGCGTGGTGGACTATGCCCTGATACCCTCTGTATAGAGGAGGCCTTTGCCCAGCAGTGGGACAAGTATAGGCTGTTACTTTACTTTTTACTTTTCCCATTATGTTACGTAAAATATGTGCATAAGTATCTATAGTTTATCTATAGTCGACGACATAAACAAACCGAAACTTTTTCTATACCATCTATCTACATACTAATACGTGAACTACTACATGGAACAAGCTTTGTATCCCTTCTAAAAAAAAATGGCGTGGATGGAGCAGTATGAAATTTCTCATACTTATTACCTTATATAGAGAAGGAGTGAGCTAATATTTATTTTTAAATTAGGCATAAAAAAAAATAAAAAAACATTCTACACACAAAAACATAAACACACATTCTCATGTATAATTGATTATGGTAGAATTTCGGCCACTAGGACAATATAAACCGGGATGTTTATTCATCGTTCGTGCTTTATCTTACGAATTTTAAATAAATTTATACAGCGTGTCGTTACCATCGCGACAATAAATGAACACACGTCTAACGCTACTTGCCAATAATCATAAAAAAAATATTAACGTTAAATAAAATCCATAATTTAAAAAAAAAAATATTTTTCAAACAAAAACTTTAAGTAAGAACAAACGAAAAAAATTTGTTACATCCTATACAACTCGCGCCACAGCGTCGCATTACAAGCCTCTCCTTCTAACAGTATGTTTTGTCTCTTTTAAATTCATTCAACCCATTCATATGCTTTGTGACCTTTACAAATGAACTTAACGTTACAGTTTTATACGTAAGAGTGTTCTAAAATTGTTTTTTTTGGAAAATTTAATAACTCGGTAAATATTGATGTTTAAAGAATGTAAATGTTTATTACAATTTTAAAAAGTTATCCTCTATATGTGTGTTCATTTATTGTCGCGGTAGTATCGACACGCTGTATACGTGTACTACAGCTGGGTTGTAGTGGCCCATTAACCAAGGAATTCTACTTGATCCAAGCTTCAGTCCCAATTGGTGGGAATCAATTATTAAAATTTTTCGGATAACTTTAATGTACTTGTTTGTACATTAAAGTTATCCGAAAAATTTTATCGGATGGTAGGATCTGTTGCACGAATGGGTCCATCTGGGGAAGTACGCCCTCACAGAAGAACGGCGGAAGTGGAAGTGTTATACTTCTGCGTTTCCTGGGCCCCATTTTATTAAAAGGTGGCAACGCATCTGCAACCCTTCGGATGTTGCAAACGTCAATGGGTGGCATTTATCACTTAATATCAGGTGAACCACCGCCGTCCCACTTAAAAAATACCTGTACACGTGTGTATAAAGATTAATAAATCGGGATACCGATCCAAATCAAAATATTTATTCACATAGACGCTGGCGCGTTCTTTTTAAATGGATTCACATGTAATCTCTGTTTCGAATTCAAATTTACAAACACAGATGAAAGCTGCGGTAACGTACATCGCCACCCGGACCGGGTAACGTATGCTGGTTGGACATTTCACACCGCTGACATTATTTCCTGCGCCGGACTGCTACAATTTGGGACGAGATTGGGAAGGCTACACTCGGGTTCGCCTGCTAATTAGCCCGGTGCGATATTGGGTGACCGGTGAAAGGACTAGCTGTAGCCGACGCAATTTACTCGTAGCTAGTAGCGTAGCAGTTTCCGCATGCTACGCACCTAGCTATATAACGTGGTTCCGAAAATTATATACATTTAGTATGCAATAGTATAGTGATATATAAATATGGTAATATATACCAGACTACTCAAGAAAGGGGATGATTTGAAAGCTTTGCTTTCAGCTTAATTAATGACATAGATTGATTATTTTTTGTCAGAGGGGAAATAAAACGATATTCTCCCTCCGACGCGATGTATCTTTTAGAAATAATATATGGAGATGTTGTGCGTTATTGTTGTCGTAAAACATGCCACTGCGGCGTTGCCAACGTCACGTTGGGATTGGATCCCGGCCCTCGCTTCAGATGCGATTCAGTTGTTCGTGCGAGTCGTTTGTCATGTCGCTGTAGGCCGTTGTCGTCAACGAAGCTATAGCCTCACGTGATGGCACAGACGTCGGCGGCGGCCTATCACACCGTTCCGTAACACAACGAAAAATCACAATGAACCAGCATCAAGCAGATAGTACTACGAAAATCTGTGTATAGGGTTGTAAAATGAATAATGTTTTAAGAGTAGAGATCTGTTTCAGTGGTCCCTGGATACCCAAGTTGTATAGCGATAATAATTGATTGGTCAAAATCAATTTGAATTATTACCCACTCATAAAGTAGAAATGTAGTCATAAATAGTATTGTAAATGTCCTTGGGCCGTGATCACATAATATCACATGTTATGTGATAGTAGATACAATACTTTTTTCTTCTTTTTATTTCTACTTTTTACTTCGTATGAAAAGGTCGCCGGTTGAAATAATCGCATGGCTCTTACGATTCACGCTGCTTTAAGTACCTCAGCGAAGCTTTGTTGTTTTTTTTAAACATTGCTCTTTCTTTAGAATAACATCATCCCGTGCTGTAATGACGTTTTACAAACATAAATTTCACGTGGACAATCATCGAGATGCGAAGCAGCTACGAGTATCTGTGGGTCACACAAATAGTACCGTGTGGGAATCGAACCCACGACCCCCAGCGTCGGAGCCAAAAGCTCGGCCACTGTAAGCTCTAAGTTCTACGATCACCACCGTGTGACAGGCGGCGGGAGGACGCGCATGTACGTCGCGCGGCGAGATTTATTGCCGCCGACCCAGCGGCCGGTGCTCGGCCACGTCTCCGTGTACGTTGTACGCGAGACGCCGGGATTTGCGCGACGTTTATTGGGGGAATTAGAACCGGAACACGTCGCGCCCGACGGCGGTTCTTGTAAATCCGGCGTTCCATTTTTAAATCGGTTCTTGTACCTTGCACCTTCGAACCGGAACAGCTGGTATTGGTGGTGCCATGACACCGCCGGTTCCGATTTAAAATTTTTGCTGAAGGTGGTGTGATATCCAAGCAATTTTAATAAATACGGAGACTACTGATGTCGAAGCGGTTTCAAAATATTCCACGAATGCAGTAACACGATACCATTTGCTACCCCCTTGAAGTTATGAAACGGTACAAGGTGTTTCAATTAAAATATTGCCTGTAATGCAAATACAAAGTAATACCTGTCATGATACTTCCATGTCCGGGCGCTCGTCTTTAATTCAATTTACTCGAGCTACCTGAGTTCGATCCCCGGTGCCGGCACCAATGAAATTATTGATTTTACAGCTGTAAAATAAAATCGTGAGGACACCAACTTATTTTCGAAACAATAACAAAAAAAATGTTTTGAAAATATGTATGTTTTGAAGTCAGAGTTCCAGTTTTAAATTATTTGATAGGGTGGTGCTGTTATAACCAATTTTGTTTTAAATTTCGAATTATTTTTAAATGTGGTATTGTGTTAATGTAGATGGAAAATATACCGTCATGTTTTATTTTAAACATTTCTAAACGATACCATCTAATATCCAACTGATTGTAATATATTGGACATACCTTCATGCCGTGTGATGCAACATAGAAAATATTTTTTCCGACAATTCTGTATATCAATAAACCAGTGACGAAGCCTCAAAGTATACTGATTGTAAACTATGCTGAATTCGTAAAGAGTGCAAAAAAGTGTTCTATAAAAATTTAAACTCTATACTCTAATAATAAACAAATCAGATAATTTACTAACATCCCTTGCTGCATCTCCATAAGCTCTCACTACATCCTGGGCTGACTTGTAGAGAATGCCTTTAATTTCGTTACCTTTTTTATTTAAGGCTAGCAATAAAGCATAAATATGTAAGACATTTCTTGTGCAAGGTTAATAAAAAACTTATAATTTTCTTTATTTAATTTTTACTTCGGAATTTAAGAAGCTAACTACTAAATTTTCGTATTAAAAATGAAACATACTTTGTTGCTTTTGGTCAACACTCAAGTTGCAACGTTTTAATTTTTCTGTGCTCTATTCGATAGAGTCATTACAATTGGATCGTGCAATAGCTCGGGGCGTGGTTGAGTTTAAAATATTTATATCGAGAATCAAGTTCCACCCGAGGCTTGGATATGCGACACCATCTAACGGCTTAGCTGGCAATGAACCAGAAATGTAGCCGTGCAAGAAAAATCGTGGGAAATCCGGCACGTGCGCCCGTCGCAAACGAGCAAAAACCACCTGCATTTTGTTTTAACTCGATCGGCTGTAAGTGAGGAAAGATGACTGCGAGGTGGGCAGAATACTTATCGCCGTCTCGGGAATTTCGCGATGTATTGTATTCGAAATAAAATCGGAACGCGGCGCGGTCGGGAAGGGAACGTTGGCTGTTTTTATTTTCGCACACGGTAAGGGTTATTTTATGTTTCGCATTTATTCCTGAAAGATTTCTGAACGCGCTGGTAATTTAAGTGTTTTATGCGTTTATTTGCACGTGTTGTTTTTAATTTTACTAATGCTTCGATCACTTTGCAAAATACCAAACTTGATCGTATTTAACCATCAGGCTAGAATCTATCCCATGACATATATAAGTTCCTTAAACTATGTGGTGTCACCTTAAGTGCAGAGGTAAGCATTATAAAATATTTAAATTCCTTGAAGTTTTTTGTAAAAGTTATATTCGTTTTATTATGTTATATAAATGTCTATATATTTACATTATACATTTATTCAGATAAAAGCAATTAGTCAAGGTATTTTCGTAAGGTTCGAGAAATATATAAATTACTATAAAATTAAATAGAAAAGGCGTGTGTACGGGCAAGTAGAGCTTCATACACAACTTACGTCAGCACTACTGAATCCACTCATCTTAAGGGCCATTACGAGCAGTACAAAGCAAACGGCAGACCCAACTGGGTTCCAAACTTATCTTCCCAACATATACGTAAGCGTCTCGTGCTGTAGTTTACAGCGAATCAAGGCTCCAACTTCTGCAAAATTCAAGACAGGCGCAAAATCTTGTAAAAACTACGGAACCCCGTCTCCCGCCTTGATCCCTAGCTAGACGATCTCTAGGAGGGAATGATCGTGGAGCTCTAGTTTTTCGTTCGGCGTTAATTATTTCACCCTCGATTCAGGCTCGGTCCGTTATTAATCATTCGGATTCATTACGTTAATTGCTTTGATGGATGGGTGTTGCGCAAAGTTAAGGAAGTGGATCTGTCTGCTTTCACGAGTCCTAGATTTAGTTTATTTATCATTCACGACTTTCTTACACTAGGAAATTTCAGTTTGATATTTGTGCCTTAAGAGGGTAGGAAGACTCTCTTTTAAGATTATAATAAGATCTTTGATCGTCATTTACTGTCTCTGGCATAATTAAAGTTACAATAATTACGGAATAAAACACTATGTGTGTACCTTCGCACGTAAGAAATATTACTTCTTTATCATAAAATAACTAAAAAATGATCGCCTGTGCTTTGCTTACTTTTACTTTGCTTACTCTTTGTTTGTGTAACAGACATTAAATGCAATTGATAAGAGTTTAATTAAATAACTTGGAATCATAGGTAAATGTCAAAAAGTTGTTATTGGTCGCAATGGTAACACAGTGAACTTTTTCGCCTTGCAATTGACTTCATAATGTCGCTTTTTGCCGTCGGTGTGCACGCGTGTTATAGCAATTTCATTACATAATTTTTTAAACGCGCCAAAAGAGGTATGACTTCAATAAAGCTAAAATTCATGGCAGTTTTAGTTTGAGCGCTATTATTGTCGAGCACGACAAAAGCCATACTCGACTGAAACTGTAAACATTAGCTCGGAAAAAGCAAACCCACCGCACCGATTCCACTGCGAACGCGTGCTCAAATTAACCGTGTAAATATATACAAATAGCCCTATCATAGGGAATGTTTACATTGGAATTGTTAAAACGGCAGCCGTTGACAAGCGCCTGAATTATGCACCGCTCTGTCGGCCTATCGTCAGATAATGACTGGTAGCTCTATTCAGTATCACGTCAGGGCCTACAGTTGTTATGCGGACTAATTCTAATTACTTACAAACGTACATTTATGTCAGCTAATTGGATGATCAATGTTTAACTACAACTCCATTGTGGCACTGATTGGATGGGTTATTTGTCTGAATTTTATTAGGATTGTGCAAAACATTTTCTATTTGCGATTTGTCATATCCGCTTTGGTAGCATACGTATATAATCATTCCGCTTTTTAAATTTCTAGTATTTGATATATTACCGGGTTGTAGCCTTTATAATAACAAATTGTCCCCTTGAGCCAACATTCGATCGAGAATAATTACATGCTTAATTATATTAGTGGTGGTCGATGTAAACTTGTAACAATAACTCTTTGTAAGTTATAGTGCTGCCATTATAAACAAAAAATAACAAAATATAGCATAACAACATACATGCAGATATAAGCTTGAAAAACTTTAACCTCCTTCAGAAGTCTGGTAAAAACTACTAACAAAGGAAATATCCACAGTTAAAAATATGCATACAAAAAACTTCAAGAACCACGCACATGAACGATGATCTCAGATTGTTGTTCAAGGAGTTTTCATGGTCTTTGTTCATTGTTCAGTCGCAAGAATGCATTGCGCAAACAATCCTAAACAGAACGAAGGAGGGCCTGATTCAATTTTATTGCAAACCGGCCGTATCATGTTTGCTCATAAATATTATACCGGCGAGCTCATTCGCCGAGCGCTCTATGAAATTGCTCGTTTGTTAGAAAAATCGATGCACTTCGAAATGCATTCGTAGCTTGTCATTTTACTGCCGAAGCAACATTGCATTTTGTGTCCTCATTGAAATTGGTTATATTGAATTGATTATAGGTCATTTTTGATTAAGATAGTACACATGATTTACTTACATACACAAGTTACTATATCGTTTAATTGTGATTCATATACATGATCAGATGATGAAAACAAGAAGGCGTTAAAGATATGCTTGATTAATTCATCGTACGGACAATTCGTGATCCACATTAAGACTTAAACATCACAAAAATATCTTATAAGGTAAAGGAAAGCAAAGACTTATGTAGCAAGGTCTTACTTTTTCGATTCTTAATAATCAATAGTTATTTTTAATCCATACTAATATTATAACTTGCACACATACTAAACTGGTAACTTACGAACGTGTTAATTTCTTTGTAAAATTTTGACGTTTCATAAGAACACGCAAGCGTCTATGTGAATAAAGATATTTTATTATTATTATTTGGGGTTATTCCTTTTTTTTCTCGTCTGGTTGGGTTTATAGAAAAAAATAAACATATAGATACAAATGTTGTTGTTTCAAATTATTATTATTATTATTATAAATGCGAAAGTAACTCTGTCTGTCTGTCTCGTTTTCATACCAAATCTACTGAACCGATTTAAATGAAATTTGGTACACAGATAATCTAGAGCGTGCGAAAGGACATTTTTTAGTTGGAAAAAGGGTTATAAAGGGTTCTTAAAGGGTATAGATATTTATTTAAGGGATAAGGGGCAACGCGAGCGAAGCCGTGGGCGAAAAGCTAGTAAGATATAACTTTATAATGCAGCGGTATTGCAACAAGTCCTTCTTTTACACATGTGCCTTTTTTAACAAAGTTCTTTGTACGTGCCTTATTCCATAAACGAATATATCTAAAAAATTTCCTTTCAATGCTTCCTAATCAATTGAGTAAGTCATAAATCAATTAAAGATGAATGCCCCATGAAATTTTTCAACCTCTTCGCAATTGCGAATAAAGGTCACATTAGGATTGTAGAGCAGTTAGATCGGCATAAAGATATTTCGCGACGGAATTACATAATAAAAATTCAAGGCGTGTTTTGGGCGGTTGAAAAGGCCCGCCCCGCCCCGTGTAATGTTTTGGCACTGTTTCAACTTCCTAGACCTATAGCGTCATACGGAGGCTGTTCATATTACACGTTATAATGGCTTGTTTAACAATACGCGATGGATAATTTATTTTCAAT